TCCTTTTTCATGAAGTGCTGTCTTCATGGGGCTTGTGACTGTGGTGTCTCCTGGTTTTAATCCTGTCTCTCTGGTCACTCCTCCTCTGTTTCCTTTGAGGTCCCTTCTCTTCCTCTGACCGCCTGTTCTTCAGACCTTCAAACACTGGTGTTCACCAGCACGCTGTCCTAGGCCATCTTGTCCCTTTCAATCTCTGAATGCTGCCTGGGAACACTTCCCTACTCCAGTAATGCCGATTCCCATCCATGTGCTGACGATGCCTACTGTAGCTCCAGCTGACATCCAGTATCTCAGCTCCAGACTGGCACGTCCCATTGTCTTTGGACAATTTCTAAGGGCACGACAGATACCTAAACCTCAATTCGTCCCAAATTGAACTAACTCATCCTCTCACCCCCAAGACCAATTCCTTCTTGAGTTTCCAGTCATTGACTAGCACCACCATCTCCTCAGCTGCTGGAGCTGGAGAGCTGGGTGCTACTTTCCTTCCTCTCCCTCCCTCACCCTTGTGGCTGATCACGAGCAGCCACAAATCCCTGCAGAGTTGACTTCTTACATACAGCTCCCAAACACAGTCACTTCTCCCCAGTCCCATAACCATCACTTCGGTTCAGGATACAGTCATATAACCTGAGGTCACAGGAAATACAGCCTTCCTGGGCCTGGCTTTCTTGCCCCTGGACTTGACCCTTCCAGCCCCTCCTTCACATACAGATTGATGCTTGTAAAGAGTGAATCTGATCACTTCGCTCTCCTTATTAAAATACTTCTGTGATCCTCCATGGGCTGTACTTTAAAGACACTAGAGGGTTACTGAAGTATTTTAATCAAGCAAGAGAGATGATCAAATATGAAGAACAAAGGGTGTAACAAAGACTTCTCAACAGCAGAAGACCTGGACTTCTCCACAATCACTGACAAACAACAAAGTTTCCCAGTTACAAATTCTAACCAGAGAAACACTAATGGATGTATTTCAGAAGGAAGAAAACTAAAACTAGAAAGGAGTGAGATGCAAGAAGGATTGGTAAAGAATGTGGGCAAAGACAAAAAATCAGTGACTATATAGAACTGTGATGGTATTAACCGAATTGGGGAGTAATAAACACAAGGCAGGACTAAAATAATACCTAAGATGTATGGGACAAGGGCTAAGGCATTCTAAGGCCCTTGTATTATTCAGAGGGTAAAGATATTGGCTAACTTTAAACTTTAATAGTAATCACAAAAGAGTAAAAACAGAATGGACAACTTTCAAAAAGGAAGGAGAAAAAGAAGTCTTGAAGGCAAAAAAGAAAAAAAAAGGAAACAAACAGAATTAATAGAAAACATTAAATAAGATGGGAAAAATAAATGCATATGTATCAGTAAACATAATGAATGAAAATTAACTCAATCCAATAGTTAAAAGACATTATCAGGTTGGATTAAAAAATCCAGTTTATGCTGGTTATGAGACTTTTGAATAGGACAAATAAAGGCTAAATGTATGAGAGAAAAGAATATAGCAGAAAAACATTACCAAAAGAAAGCTGGTAGCAATAATAATATCAGATAAAATAGAGTTGGGGAAGAATATTAAGGATTAAGAGGTTCTCTATTTAATAACTGGATACAAATTCTCCAGATTATAAGCACCTACTAATATGGCTTCAAGATATCTAAGTAACAGATTCAAGAAGCTTGATCTGTAATCAACATATACAGAACTCTACACCCAAAAGAGAATAAATATACATCATTCCGAGCACAAGGGACATTTACAAAAATTGACCTGTACCACACCACAAAGCAAATCCTGACTAATAAGAAAGAATGAAAATAGTATAGTCCACATTTCCTGACCAAATGCAAATAAGGTAGAAATCAGCAATAACAAGTAACCAGGAAAGACCACGATGGCTGCTGGGTAGACAAGGGGTAGTATATGGGGTGTGGTAGAGGCAGGGAAAAAGGGCATGGTAGAAGCTCAGTCTAAGGAATGGGTGGAGGGAGGAGGTTAGGACAAAGATGGGAAGCATGCAATGGAAAGAAGCCACTGACCATCTTGTTTGGTCATGTACAGCCAGCCCCTAACACAGTGCCAGGTACATTGTGACTAGCAGAATACAGTTTGAAGGGGCTGGCCCATGGCTCACTTGGGAGAGTGGTGCTGGTAACACCAAGGCCAAGGGTTCAGATCCCTATATAGGGATGGCCGATTTGCTTACTTGGGAGAGCACGGAACTGACAACACCAAGTTAAGGGTTAAGATCCCCTTATCGGTCATCTTTAAAAAAAAAAAAAGTACAGTTTGAAAACATGAGAAGCTAAACATACGCTAGATGAATTCACCGAAATGAACTGAAACTCTGTCCGCACAGTAGGTTCCCATGACCTGGTCATGAACACCTCAGCCCAGTGAGGCACCTGGACCCCAGTTTACTCCCAGGTCAGCCAGCCCTATGTCTGTCCACCTGCTTAAGTCTCATGTCATATCCCTGCTCTCGTGGCTCCTTATTTTTTCAAATGTTTTTATGCAATGCCTAATATAAGACTATACTAGGTATTTCTATACTCATTTAATTTCCCCCAAAACCTGTCAATTCAGTACAGTAAGCTGCACTGCTACAGATGAGGAAAGAGGCAGGCTCAGAGAGGTGAGGTAACTTACCCTAAGGTCATTCATATAGTAGCATGTTTAGACCCTCATCTGCCTCACTGCTTTTTCTCACCCCCTTAGAGAGGCAGTGTGGTTTAGAGATTAAAAGTACCCGTTCAAATCCTAGATCTATGACTCATCAGTTGTGGATTCCTGTACAAGTTACTTCACTGCTCCATACCTCAGTTTGTCCACATATAAAATGGGGATGATGATCACATAGCAGCTACCACAAGTGTTGCTATGAATACTAATTGGATTAATATACACAAAGTGCTTAGAAGAATGCCAGATGTAAAGTAAACTTCCAATAAATATTAGACCTTTAGCATTATTTACCTGATTAAAGAATCAGCTATGACTCCCAGATAACAGCTGGCCAAATTAATCAAAATGGAACAGAAAAGTAAGCAGGCATTGACTGTCTTCCAGTTAAAAATTCAGATATTGTAGTTGCACTCACTAAATGTTCACCTAAAAGGCCTGATTTGTCTGTCTCAAAAGACTCAGATTCTGGAGTATCCCTGACTGGTATTGGTATACACAGCACAAACCCACACCTTGATCACCTGATCTACAGCAGGGTTTCTCACATTTGGGGCTGGGTAACTCTTTGTTGTGAGGGGCTGTCCCACGTGCATTGCAGAGAGTCTAGCAGCATCCCTGGACTCTATCCACTAGATACCAGTAGCACACTCGCCATGGCCACAGCCTCCCTACCCCTCCAAGTTTGACAGGCAAAACTATCTCCAGATAGACTCAAATGTTCCCAGGGGGACAAAAGCATTAAGAATCACTTTTCTGGGCCTGCCCCGTGGCGCACTCGGGATAGTGTGGTGCTGGGAGCGCAGCGACGCTCCCGTCGCAGGTTCGGATCCTATATGGGAATGGCCGGTGCGCTCACTGGCTGAGCGCGGTGCGGGCGACACCACACCAAGGGTTGCGATCCCCTTACCGGTCACGAAAAAGACAAAAAAAAAAAAAAAAGAATCTCTTTTCTAGTCTTCATAACTGAAATTTTTCTAATGGAATCCAAAGCAGCTCCCTTATCCCAAGTTCAACTCTAAAGGCCATCATCAAATAACCTGGGGCAGGGATCTGGTGACAAAGGATGATGGAAATAGATTAGGCAGGGCTTCAACAGGGCCCCACCTTACCCCCACGCATGGTACCTGCAGATAAGACTGGAAGGCAGAATGCCCAGAGGCCATCTCAGTCTTGGCTGATGAAAAGAAGCTACAAAGAAATTTGAGTGTGTGATACTCTGCCTCTAGAAACCAAATGTTGCAGCATTTGTAATGGGCACAGTGTTTACATGAAGCTTTCCCCTTCAAATCGCCAAGCTTTCAGCCTCCGTTAATATTCTCAAGGGGCAGGTTTGGCTGTCTTCCATCTTCAAGATGATTCAGGTTTCCTGGAGAACAAAATGAGCCTCTAATGCCTAATATTTTCTCTCTTGACAGATGGTTTCAGATGTATCAAAGTGCTAATCTTTGCTGAGGTATAGGTCTCAAGGAAGGAGAGTCTGGTGTTTAGAATGAGAGGACTTGAATGATTAAGGAGGAAAATTACTCCCAGGATATTCACCATTGTCATGTGAGCAACCAGCTTAAAATGAAGGAAGCCAGCAGAATCTAAAAAATGATTTGCAGGAAAAGGAGAGGAAAAACTCAAAAACCCAGGTTAACAATTTCAGTTTGAAATATTTCTGCTCAAAGACATCTTTGGGAGTGTAATGGAGTGCGATAAAAACACCTTTCAGCTCATGATGATCAGGGTTCCATCCGTCTGCCCCAACTTCACCATTCCCAGCTTTGTTGTATGGAGGAGGCTCTGGGGACAGAAGCCTGGGTTGGAATATGTGCCTTGCCACTTACTAGCCGTGTGAACTTGGGCATGTTCTAAAACCTTTCTGAGCCTCAACTCCCTCATCTGTAAAATGGGTAATAATATTCATCTCAAGGTGAGGTTGTGCATATTAAACGACACAATGTATGCCTAGCCTGACACATGACAAGCGCTCAGGAAATGTTAGCCTTGAATATGAACTAGTACTTAGTGTTGACCTACCATGTGCAGGCTGCTTTTATATACATTACCACCTCTGAGCCTCACAGGAGGCTCGGCAGTTTGCTTATAGATGATAGTATAGATACAGACATTTTATAGACGAGGATGCTCAGGATTGCAGAGGTTGAGTCCACGGTGACAAAGCTGCACATGGCGGGATTCGCACCTGGCCCTAACCTGACTCCCGAGCCAAGTTCTTTCCCCAGCACCACTCGGAGCTGACTGGCCTTGGGGGGTGGGAGGGTGATTACTGGGGCCAGGTCACCGCGCGGGGTTAGAGGTCACTCACGGTACTCCTCCAACCTCATCAGGGGTCGGAAGTAGATAGGGTAGAAGGCGGCGCCGATCAGGGAGATGAAGCCACCGAAAATGAGCGCGGTGCGCAGGTTCCGGGACATGGCGCCGGGCCGGGGGCCGCCCTGACCCACGAAACGCCCCGCACTCTCGGAAACCTTGCTCCCCACAGCTGGGCCGTGACCCCGCTCGGAAGAGGCGGAGCGGCTTTCGCTTCCGGGCCTTGGGGCGGGGCGAGGGGCAGGGTGGGGCCGGAGGCGGGGCCAAGGGGCGGGGTGGTGCTGGGGGCGTGGCGTGGCGAGGCGAGGGGCAGGGGTAGAGTGAAATGCAGGCTCCTTTTCATGGCCACGCTGGACTGGCTCCCTCTTCACAACCCCGCTCAATCCCTCTCCCTCCCTACACTGCGCTCTGACCACATGGTTCTCCTTCCTTCTCTAGAACAAACCAAATCCTCCCCCACATCCAGGACTTCATTCATTCACTCTCCACCGAGAATGCTCTTCTCCCAGCTCGTCCTGGGCCGAGTCCTTCTCATCTGCCAAGTCTCCTGTTCTTGGATAGACTTTCCCCAATAATGCTAGTTGAAGCAGACCCCTGCCCAAGAGGTCGGGCTGTTGCCCCCGATTTCGGCCGGTCGTGCTGTGTCCCGCTCCCTGCACTCGACCTGGGTTCTCCCTCAGCCTCCCACCCGCCACCCTCCAGACCTCTTGCACCAACCGCGCTTTCTCGTCCTTCACCCATTGATTTAATATTTAGTGACTGTCTACCACGAGCCGGGTGCTTTCTACGGCTCGCTCATTTAATCTTCAAATCAGTCGGCTTGTTTTACAGGTGAGGGAACCACGGTTCGAAGACGCGGTTTTAGACAAGTCACTGGTCTCCTTGAGGGCAGTTTGGTTTGTAGGGATGAGAGACAAAGGGGCAAATCACCTGACCCAGGATGGCCTGCAGGAGGATTCTGAAACCCGAGCCACAGGGGCTTCTGGACCAAGACTGGCCTGGGAGGGATGCCAAGCTACGAGGGTATCTTTTCTGACTCCTTCTTCCATCGCCTCCTCTCTCCCTTTGCTGGGACGTCAGCGTTACCAGTGAGAATGAGGAGTAGACAGGGATCCGGGAAGGACACAGAACCAGCAGTCAGCACCACCCATGGTGGCCTTGAGGCTCTGCCTTATTGCCTGGGGTGGAGGCTACTGAGGACAGACATCTGCTTCCTCTTCTATGATTGTCATCCTCCACTCTCTGCACCTCATCCCTTTACAGGTAGGCTGTGCCTGAATGTGACCTGCCCAGGGGGACTGGGCACCTGAGACTAGGACTCCTTGAGCTTCAAGCTATCCTTTTTTTTTTTTTTTTTTTTTTTTTTTTTTTTTTTTTT